GGCTGTGTCGTAAATACTTGCAGTCTCATCCAGAAAGGTGGCAAAAAATGGACGAATAAATACCAATAAATTATCAACATCTGGGTGAGCAGTAACCGCGACGGACCCTTAGATGCACATCCAAGATTTCAATACACTGTGGTTTGAACATAGAAGAAATTGTGTAAAGTGATAAACATTGACTGTATTCATTCGTAGCGATAAAACCTCTCGCAACATTCACAGATTTTTACAAGTCTTCTTTGAAAATAACCCACGTTTGAGACGCTGCAAGATATGGTAGATAACAGATGTCACTCGCGTTCTTGTTCCCAATCTCTCTCGAGGACCAAGATTAGCTTTCAGCCTCACCGTAGAAAGCTGCCTTCGGAAGTTCGTTTTGACTTAGGGTTGGTTAAGGCTCAAAATTACCGACCGTGTTTCGAATCCGGCCTCGGTAACTCGACTAGTCCTGTCCAGGCTTCGACTACCCAGCGATTGCTCAACTCTTGTGCTACCCTCGGGCAATATGGCGGCTGCATACCAAAACAGTTCTCCAGCTGTGGAATATTACGATTATTGTTACTATTATTATTATTATTATTTTCATGTTCCCAGTGTTAGAACTGGTATTTTGTCAATTTGAATTTCAGCAGATTATCTTCAACTGTAGCGCTGTGAGGGTAGGTCAGATAAACTTAAGTGAATTACCCTGCGCAAATTGTGGCTTTTTTAAAGCAATCGGACAGGGCGCACATGTCGATACAAGCACCTGTGAAATGCGTTTTGTTTGACCGGTACAAGCACAGAAACTATGCCGAGACGGTGCCAACTCGGGTGACTTTACAAGTTATTGATCATCTGGTTGCTGATCTGTCAAAAAGTTTTCAGTAGGTATCGACCTTCCGCGGTGATATGCTTCCTATGCTAATGACAGCTAAACGCCTGTAAACTAAGTGTCAGGCTGAGCAGTATTGTCGTTCTTCATTAATCTGAGTCCTTGGTTGGGCGTGTCCAAAGTGGCCTACGTACAAGTTATGAGTTTCCGCAGAAAAGAGCTTATAGTGAGTACGGTTCCTCCAAGGAGTTCGTGAACATTTAGTTATTTGTTCATTTGCGGAACTGGGTTGCAAGTGCGAACTACGTTCGACCTACATCCACCGAGTAAACACTGAAATATGGTTCAATCCTGACCGATGTGTCAACGAATGATTGAGCACACCAGGGTAAGCCAGGTGACCAGCAAGAAAATCACAAGATGTGCTGGGTCTAAAATAGGAATTCCATCTTACGGCGCGTCCGGTTGCCCAAAGACGTTCAACAAGACGCCGTTAAGTGAAAATGCCTGTTTGGGTTTTTCTAATCAACATGCATATGACAGGTTTGCTTTTCTGTCCAATAGTCCGTAACTGGTCAGTTGGCATTATGTAATAAATTACTCCGCAGGGAAGGCCTTCTTCCTTTTAGTTGTTGACGTGACCAGGATATGGAGAAAGATTCCGTGGCCACAACCCTTTTAGGATGGTGATGTTCGGATCTTCCTGGAGGAATCTGAGGAGGCCGAGAATGCCACCGGACTGGAGACCGACCGGAGTAGTTTTACGACGCTGAAGATTCTCCTCAGGGGCCGGACGAAGGCGGCCCTGGATGCGATACCTGGAAGTTGGACTGGGCCACCGCGAAGGAAGCCTTACAAAGGAGGTCGACACGCCGGCCGACCGCCTGGAGGCCATGAGGCGGTTCACGACAGCCAGGATGGCACTCAAATCTGACCCGGCCGTGTTCTTTGCCGACATACACCAGTCGTTGGATCGCGCTTTGCCAGGAATGGACGTGGTGTCGCGCTACCAGTCGCTTTCCGAACAGTTCGTATAAGATGTGCGGCCGGCGTCTGGTGCCCAATTGCGGTTGGCACGGGCAACTGGCCAGTTGAGTGTGGAGGAGCTAGTGCGCGTGGCACGATAACTGCCCGGAGCACCAGTGGTCTCATTGGAGTCGCAGGGTGAGAGGGATTGTTCACCAGTTGAGGAAATGCAGACCAGAATAGACTAACTCGCGCAACAACATGGAGTCGGAATCGCGGGGCACGCTCGAACCAGTCGGTGCTCACATGTGTGACACCTCTGGCCACTGGAATAATCAGTGTCCCCGTAGTCAATCACCTGCAACTCTTCTTTTCCTGGGTAGGTCGAGATTAGCGCACTGACACAATCCACCATACGGTCCATGATCTAGATAGACGGGAAGCGGAGAACGAACCGAGCTGAAGGCAGCCCGTGCGCGCTAGCCATGAGAGCAGTGGGTGGATATCGAATAAAGATTCATGGATTGTCAACGCACACGATACGCCCAGGCGACACGCTTGTACAGCATGCGTTCTTGATCAGCCCATACATAGAACGGACAATATTGCGAGCAGATTTTCTCAAGGACACAGATTCGGTGATTAAGCTAAAGCAGGGAAAGCTGGTGACAAGATATGACGCAATCAAGCTTGACGGTTATCCAAGCGCTGCCGTGAGTGAGCTGCGTATACGAAAGCTTCCGTCTTTTACCGTACCGTCAATACGTCCCGTGGTCAAGGAATATTCAAAACTGTTCACGGGTGATGTGGACCCGTTTGGATTCTGTGCATGGATTGAACACGAAATTACTCTGTCGTCAGAACGCTTTCCACCTTACGGCCTCCCGACCGTTGCTGCTCGATCTGCTGCAGGACGCCCATAAACAGATTGAAGAGGTGTTAAAGAATGGCATAATCGAAGAAGTCAATAGCGCGTACAACACCCCGGTTGTGCTTGTATGGAAGGCGAACAGAAAATACAGGTTCTGGGTGGAGTTCCGGCACTTAGATGAATTGACCGTAAATCAGGTTGTAGCTGTGCTATCGATTGAGGAGATTTGCTTTAGCCCCCGGCACTCCCGATATTTTGCTGTGTTCGACTTGCATTCCGAAACTGGCAACTTCCTAGCAAAGCGGAGGACCGAGAGAAAACGGCGCTTACGTTTGGAGCCACCCACTATCATTTTTGACGAACGCCGTTCGGTTTGTCTAGGGCACAATTCACATTCCGCCGCCTGATGCACTGCTTGCCGAAGGGATTCCAGAGTGTTGCTGTGCACGGAGACGATATCGTTGTGTACAGCAATTCGGAATCAGAGCTAGCAGTTCACTTGAAGGCCGTACTAAACGGATTCCGCAGGCTGGTCTGTGGATAAATGAGGTCAACTCGCAGCTCGCGCGAAGTGCGGTGACACCGCTGATCATAAATTCGGTCACGGTGAAGTTAGCCTATTGCCAAAAAAATTGGCAAAGATGAATGATTGTGCTGTTCTCAACTCAAAGCGGTCTCCACGGCAGTTTCTTGGACGAGCGACATACTACAGCTGGTTGTTGAGGATTTCATCGCGATCGATGCGACTGTACGAAATGATCGGGCAAAATCGGAAATTTGAATGGACCAGGGAAGCTTTTGAGTGTGTCAAAACGCGGATGTAGGACCAGCAACTGGCCATCAAACTGCCCAGATTTGGAGGGATATTCACTGTTGCAACGGACGCTAGTGATCGCGGTATTTGCGCAGACCTAAAGCAGAGGAAAGGAGTTATCGAATGTGCCAGTCGTGTCCTGACTAACTCTGAAAACAAATACTCGACCATCGAAGTTTGTTTAGCGATCGTCTGGGCTCTGGATAAATAGAGGTCTTATCTGCTTGGGTTAAGATCTCATGTTGAACCCGATCCCCACCCCCAGGAGTCGAAGAAGACCACGAGATATCCTGGATAAAAGGTCGCTTGCTGGGAACACAAATGCAAGCGTACAACATCACAATGCAGCACGTGCCAGGGAAGGAGAACTACTTAGCCGATCGGCTGTCAAGATCAGAGGCTGAAAATGAGGACCCCAGGATCCCGATTGGAGCCAATAGCCTCGTCGTCGGACTGGATCCCGGGAGGTTTGTGCAACACCAACGTCAGGATCCTGTTTTAGAAAAGCTTGGAACCGCGTTGTTAGGTGGAAGGAGAATTGACAACGAAGAGATGTACAAGGAATTGGAAACGTTCCAGAGTCCCTTTGACTCGGTGAGTCCGAATGAAGCTGGCGTAATTTTAATCGAACGTCACTGATTCGGATGTTGTGCCACCCGTGATACTTAGCGTCCTCAGACAGAGGCTTATCGTCGAATGCCATGGGATGGCATGTACTTTGGCAGATGGCTCATTGGCCCGGGGTGAGAAGTGAGGTGATGGATTATGTGATGTCCAGTAAGCGATGCGAAACAATGGAAGAGGACACGACAGGGGCAATCCATCTCATGGAACCTGTTGCTGTCCCAGGAAGCGGCGAGGTGTGGTCCGTTGACGTCACGGATCTTTTTCCGGTGACACTCAGCAAGAATCAATGCATCCTGGTAATGACAGAACACCTGTCGTAGTGGAACGAGGCGGCAGTCATGCCTATTGAGCAGGCGACGATGATCAGTCGAGTTGTGAGGCATCACATCGTGGCCAGCCATGGGGTGCCAAAAATGATCCTGAGCGATCACGGGCCTTGCTTCGAACACCGGGAGTTTAGGATTTGCCTGCAGAACCTGGGTATCAGACGGCTAATGCTGGCACCATACCACCCGCAAACAAATGTCCTAACCGAATGTAACAATCGAACTATCAAGGAGCGGCTGGTGGCCAGACGAGGTAACTGAGAAGTGAACTTGACGATGGTGTAGCTAGCTCACCGTGCTTCCATACAGCCAACCACAGACAGGTATCCGGTTATGCTGAAGTAAGGTGGACATCCGCGCCTTTCGTTTGATCAGGAAATTTGGTTGTGGTCGGCATCACGCTTGTCTCCGGAGGGGCTAGAGAATGAAAGAAGGAGAGCTCGATAAAACGTGACCACCGTTCACGAAAAGACGAGGGAGTAAACGGCAAACAGAGAGGAGTGAACATTCCCCATAGGCACGAAGGTCAAGTGAAAAGATCACCAGAATCGCGGAAGGAGTAAAGTGGGGTCGCAGAAGCTAGTTAGCCGATGACGGGGTACTTTCGCCGTCACCGACCAGCTGAGGATCGTCTGTACGATTCAACTTGGCCGAGGATCGAAGAGTAAATGGGACGCGGATTTGTAAGTGGCATGATACATCGAAAAGTCGGCCGCCTAGACCCGCTGCAGAAGCCGACCTGACGGAGGGAAATGAAAATCGATGACATGCGAACGACCACAAACAACCAATGTGCACACATTGTTGGAGTTAGTTCGCACAAATGATCAGTCGTTGAACAGTCTGATCAGAATTGCAGATCATACCCTGATTGTCATAAACACTGTACCGCGGACCTATTAGATTTGTGGTGTATACCTTGTTTCACATTACCACCATACACAAACAACCAATGTGCACACATTGTTGGAGTTAGTTCGCACAAATGATCAGTCGTTGAACAGTCTGATCAGAATTGCAGATCATACCCTGATTGTCATAAACACTGTACCGCGGACCTATTAGATTTGTGGTGTATACCTTGTTTCACATTACCACCATACATTGCTAAGACAAAGTTCGATTCACAGGAGACACAGTATAAAATTCCACGCACATAAAGCATCAAGTAAACCTGAATATGATGCATCGTTGTTCGCTTCTTATTTCGTTCTTATTCTGCATCGACCATGTTGCATGGTTGGAAACCGTCGCTGTGTTTGAATTAAACCACACATACGAGCTGTTGCGGGAACTGATAATTCACCAGGTATGGATAATCCTCACCATTTTGCACCATTTAATCTACCTGTTCCACTCTGCCTGTTGTCCGTACTTCACCTGTTATTTGTATCCCCATTCAGACGGACGTTTACCACGCGTATCAAGTTGTGCGTGCAAACAAAACTCCAGCAGAGAATATAATTGCCTTCGCCTACGATGATATTGCAAGCAATCCCAAGTAAATCTCCCGTACACTGTTTGTCATCTGATAGCAACTGGACTGTCAAAAAAGCATTTTATTGTTTGGCTTTAAAACGTCTCATTTTTGAGCCATATTTCTCACTGGATATAAACCATGGATGGAGTCGCCTCGCAGAAATTTATGAGGCTTCGTGCGTGACTTCACATGTACACCCTGATTATTTTTCTTTAAAGCCATTACATCAATGGAAACGCCATAGAACCCTGATGTACTCAACACAATTGATACCAAATCATATTGCAGCCACTGTGGTATATCCCCGTTCGTGAGGAGCGATAGTTAACTACGTCCCATTTGTCAGTAGTCTGAAGTTATTGCCAATGATCCCTGGATGTCGTATGAGCGTATCGGCCAACTGATGATTTGGAGCAAGTAATAAGTAGTCTAAACATTTTGTAATACGGCCGATTGCTAAGATAATTAGAAGAAACCTTCTCAAGATGTGAAAAAGGAGGTTCTTGTTTGGAGGCTGTACTAGTCGCTAGGCGTTTCTTGCTCAATCAAATTTTATTTAAGGGCCCTGGATTAGGATATGCTCACAAAATCTACTACGATTGATGTCCGGCCGTAAATTCACTTCGAAGATTTACATTTTCAAGCAAAATTTGTAATGTTTTACGTTGACTTCTCAACGTAGTCGAGTCAAGTCAACGTTTTCTAAGTCAGAACTGCTCTAAGGATTAATAATTAACACTTAATCGAAAGCGTGACATAGGGAGCACTCATCGGCGTAAAAATGTGTTTAAAAGACAAGCCAGAGGAGCATATTCAAACAGTATTTACGAGCCTTTCATCTCTTTCTATTCGACCTACGTGTTAATTTCTCCCAAACGACCCACTGCCTCTTTTCATTATTTTATTCCAGAAATCCGTTTCCTGGCCAAGTATTGCATGACTACGAGAACGAAGATGAGTACAAGGGTGTGGTAATTGACTTTCGTGTAGGAGTAAGTCGTAGTCAGGTGTGCAGCAACCGAATGAATTTCTGTATCAGTTCACCGTGTAACTCAAGATGAAACGACACTGCGTATCAAAACAATATTAACCGTAATGTAGACCAATCAGTTTCACCGTATTACAAAATTGTAAATTTATTTGAAGAAACACTAATCATAGAGAAATCTCGGGCAAACCACTAGCACATTCAACCATCCAGTTGCGGCCTCACAAGTATGCTCAGTGTAATAACAATATTTTTCACAGCTTAGTTCTCTGTCTGAACTTTCCAAGCTAGCGTTCTTGTCAACAGCACCACCAAAGGCTCACGGCGTGTATCAGTGCCCGAAACCAGATACAGCGCGTCGTTCATGAGGTATATGAGGTGACCACATTCTCGAGAGTGTGGGATATTGCGGATGCCCCTCTGGGAACAGGCATTCGAAGAATCAGGATTCCTATTGGTTCCAACCAGAGCTCGTCTTGATACTGGACCGGCAAGTTGCCCGATCTTCCGGCAAATGGAGTGCGAGATAGGCTGCTTGGACGTAGAATCGCTTAACTACAAACGGCAAAATTGTGTCGTTGCGGAACTCTGTCGGTTCCCATGTCCAACGTTTACTCAAATTTTTCACCCAAACTCTCATTTGCAAACTGTGTTTGCGTTAACGAGAGACTCGAATGAAGTCTAGGTCAGTCTTTCTTCCATCATATCCTTCATATGCATGTGCCGCAACAGGCAGTTCATTCATTGTTACAAAATAAAGCTGACAGAAAGTCGGGGACTATGCCTGCCGGATGGATTGTCGAAAAGTATCCAGTAAGGCAACGAAAAGGTTCCTTCGAGAAGTTATCCTGTGATAGCCCGAACACTGTACCAACCAAATCAAGCAGCGGTTCCTGGGCAGCACACTCAGTCACTGAACAACGTAAATTATAATTTCAGCCTTGGTTCAGTTGATTACTAAAGAGTGGCGCTCACTTCAATATAGCGCCTAGTTCTCACGTGTGCTTCATTCTTTGAGCTACTGAGCTGGACGAGGGATACTTGGTCGTGCTTCTAGGCAACTTCCGTCCAACCCAACTGCAAACACTCGGCTTAAGGAGCAAATCCAACTGCTATGCTTGGCAAACAGACCAACAATCAAATTCTTCCGTTTTCAGTATTCTGTGACGGTCGTGAAATTAATGTGTTAAGATTGAGCAGATCCTAGATGTCAGTTATTTGGTAGGCTGCAAATGGGTAGCTACTGTGAATAGAATAAGTGTGGAGAACACCAATTTCACAGGAATAATTGATCATGCGTGTTTATCTGCTTTAGGACGTCATACGGAAAAACCACTTGAAAGTACTGAAAAGTGATAAGAGACTTGAAACCAAAGGGAAGAAGGTGCTGAAAATGTGAGTCCGCACGGAAGGTGACACCGTTGATGCACGTGCTTGTCACAGCTAGAAGTCAGTTGTTCCAGGCCAGATTTTTGCGATTTACGAAATGCGTGATCGGTATTTTCGTAAGTACTGTGGTGTATAATCTCTTTAATTAAAGCTCTCAGAAATCAGTCGAAACGATTTGCTTCACTACATCGGAAATTCGGTTTATCAATTTCAGACTATGGGTTATTATTTTATCATAGACATCAATCACCACTGTTAACAAGTTTCGAAAATAATCATATATGCGCAGTTGCGAATGGTCAAATATCTGCCCGGACTTGTACAACTTGGGGTCGGTCGATCTTGGTCTGCTCGGATTCAGGAGATGTTTTAACTCATTGTGTTGAATCACAAAAAAGAGCACTGCTGATTAGATAAGGCATGGTAGCTTTACGCAGCCATTTATGGAGACAAAGGGACTTTAATAAAACTGCATTCATAGGGTTCATAGAGTGCTCCACAAGGTCGTGCTAGAATTCCCGTGAGGAGATGAGTACCTCGAATCAAAGATGCTCGATCCGGAGTGGTTGATATTCTGACCAGTCAGGGTGTGCCTTCGTTTGGTCTGCGTCCTGCACGTGACATCCGTCCAGCTGATGTGATGTTCGGTTATTAGAGGTGGCTGGCCTATGGATATAACATTATTTCTCAGTAGTGTATACAAACATGTGGATATTTCCAAAAACATATCTTATTACGCTACCAAGAGCGTGATTCCGAAGTAGCTGATAGAACTAGCTGAAGTAGAGAGTTGCCTCAAACAGAGTTATCTCAAAGTTGTACAAATTCCTTTTACACATCATAATCGTTTGCATTGGCAGTAATGAACCGTGTAACTTTTTAGACCCTTCTGATTTCCTTATTCACCAATTAGCCCAGGCCGATTGCGCAACAACTCGGCTAATGCAGCGTGCGAGAAAACCCATTTATTTGGGGAATATTACCATAGACCTTCCATTTGCGTGGCGTTTTTGCTGTGGTTTCATATGCGTGGGAGCGCCACACAACAGGTTACTCTTCAAGATCACCTTAACCTTCCTGTTCACTTACAGCGTTCCTGATGACAACGTGTTTATCTTCTACTCTGGCCATGGTGGGAATTCCCGCATTTACTTCCCAGATGGATCACTAAGTTTGGTTAATTTTTGTAACCACGTTTATAGCACACAGCGTTTTCTAAATGAGGCCTAGTTGTGAAAGGATGGAACAGGATAAGATAAACATATGTTGGCCGATTGCCATCGATTGTTCCTCATAAAAGAGAGTATAGTTTAAACTGGCCTACACATCAAGCGAAAAGTGGAACAGAAGCTACGGGGTTCGAACGTTTGGTAGTTCTCGTCTGGTTGCATTCAATGATAAAGTCACATCCATGTTGTTTTACTAAGTTGGGGGTTGCTCAAGTTACTTGCGGTTGATTCATTAGGACCACTGAGTAATCTTAGAAAAATAAATAACGAGGCAGGTCGTATCGCGTCACTCATGAGGCGTAGATGCACTTTTTTACTTCTCGAGAGACAGCGCGATTCTTTGGCAATCTAAAGATTTTTTTGTATGAGGTTGTAGTCTGTGATGTGGTGTGTGCTTAGTAGTTGCAACATTTAAGTTTTCGGCCACGGGCGGCCAACTAAAGGCCTAATTCATCTGCAATAAGTCAGGATATAACTTCGCTCATCCTTCAATCAAGGGATCCACATCACTGGTGACTGCCTCCTCGAGTGACAACTTCTCACATGAAAAATCTATTTGTCGTGTTTATGGATTGTTGTTCCCTCTAAACTACTTACAATCTGTTGGTAGTGCGATGAAATTTGGATTTTTCAATTTAATGGAAATTGCCCAA